ACAGGCGGCCAGCATAATTTACACCGTGTTTTAAGCCTTGTCGAAATAGAAATGTCGGGGCTTGCAGACACTTGGGTGACACCACACGATCAGTATGGAGGCATGTTATGTTTTTTTCAGTTTTGTTATTACATCTGAAGAAGGAGCCACCTTGGCTGCAACACTGTTTACCCCTAAAACTCCAAAAGTCTTTTGTGGACTCAAACACTTCACCCACCTCTCCATCAGCAAGAGGTGGGTGAAGTGTTTTTTTTTTCGTGAACTATCCCTTTAAGGAGAACAATTAATTACAGCCATGTGAATGTTATGAATGTTGAATTTTATGCTGTGATTTTCCTTCACCTGCGTCTGTTGGTCATGAAGCAGAATGAGGAGGCGTGAGACGGAGGAGTTATAGGCTGAAGGGGAGATGCTCTGCACCGTGCAGCGGCTCAGGCGCAGGTCCGGACAGGCCAGTGATCCCAGCAGGAAGTCCTCCGTCTGCAGGTGCTCCACCCGTCTCAGCCGCCCGTCTCTGAGCTCGATCAGAGAGCCGGCCACAAAGTGAGGGAGCAGCCAGGGGAAACGGTCAGGAGAAGGAGACGCCTGTTCGGATGAGGGCAGAGTGGATGTGTCCTCTTTCATGGAGGTATATGTGCTGTTTGGGTCATCGCCAGAGTACACTCTTCTGAGGGAATGTTCAAGAAGGTGTGGGACAATGTTTGTTGGTGTGTGCACCAAATCATGTTGGTCTTCCTGAGCAGAGTGAGGTAGGCAAGTGCTCAACGATGGAGGACTTGCTCTTTCAAACCTGGGAAAAGACTCCACTTTCCTGTCTCTTCTCCTCACATATGGTCCTTTATTCCTGCTATTTCTTTGCCTCTCTGCGTTAAAACTCTTGTCCCTTACTGTCTTGAGCTGCTCCCAGTTGTACCCTTCGCCCAGTTGGAAACCCTCGGATACCAGGGAGATGGGGCTGAAGCTAGGGGGGTGGTGTGGATGGACTGCAGGTGTGCCAGGTGCCTGGTGCTGATAGTGGTATGGAAAGTCCCACCCAGGGTGCAGGGGGTTGAACTCTCTCCACTCAGCCCAGCCGTGGTGCTCCCTGAAGGCAGAAAGCCCCTGAGGCTTGGACCTGGTGGTGGATGATGTGTGAATCTGCATCCAGGGCTGGTAGAGAGCAGGGACTCGTCTCGGCACAGGCTGGAACGGGCTTGTGTGTTTTGTCTTGAACTCATTACGGCTCTTGTAAGGATAAGGTGCCTTGAATGTTGCTGCATCACACTCCTGCTGCTGCTGATGTGACAGTGAGCTCAGTCTTTGGTCCCTCTTCTTCAGCGGGAGGCTGTCCCTGTCTGGGTTTGGTGTGAGGCTCATTGCCTCACGCTGCCCGTCACTCACACTGGTGTTGCATGGCCTCCTGCAGATGTTGATGAGGTGGTGTGATTACGTGACTCCATCATTCTCTTGGCAAGCGTGGCAGAAAGTTCAGCCTGAGGTCGTCACGATCTGAAAAGCAGAAGAAACAAACATTTTTACAAACAACTTTATATCTTTGCAAAGTGTCAAGCTGAAGACAAGCCCTTACCCTCTATTTAGGCTCTCTGTCTTTCCTCATCTGTCACTACTCTTTACAATTTTGTTGATAAATGATACACCCCCCCCACCTCCATCTGGACGTGCCACCTGGTGAACTGCTGCTTGTAAATATCCCCTTGACGTCTCAACAAAAACTTTGCCATCAGCTTCAAATTAAGGCTTTCCAACCACCAATTGCTGTATTGATGGGGTTCAGTTTGATTGACATCTCTGAACGCCTTTGTAAAAAAAGAAAAAGTTACTATGGCAACAAAATGAAAAAAATGTCATCATAGTGAGGACCAGGCAGTAAAAAGGTTGAGGGTGGGTGTGAAGTTATATAGGTTAGATCTTGTCATTATTAAGTCTCTGAGGTTAATACTATCTTTCAATCAATTTTTCATGTGAAATGTTCCACTCGAAGGTGCAGGAGGATAAAACACAGCTCCAGCTTTCTTGTGGTACTGAAGTGATCTCCAGCATCTAGAGCTACTGAAACCCCATCATCCTCCTTACATGAGTAAACAGTGAGTCAGTTCACTCAGGAGGACTAAATATAAGCACCTTGTGGCTGCACACACACACACACACACACACACACACACACGTTTGTACAACTATTTTAGTGACATAATACATTCCCTAGCCCCTTACCCCAACCGTAACCATCCAAACTAAATGCCTAATCCTGACCTAAACCCTAACCCTAAAACCAAATATTAAGCCCATTGAAAAAGTGAGGACTGGTCAAAAGGTCCTCACTTTCCAAAAATGTCCTCACTCTGTAGGGTCTATGCTTAAAATGGTCCCCACAAAGAGATAAGTACAGGAACACACATACACACAGTATATAATACAGGAACAGCTCATATCAGAGACATGCCTGTCAGAGTCACAGAGGTCCATTCAGCCGGGCTCCGCTATGACGATGACATAATTCAGGGCATTGAGATGAGCTTTGCATTGACAGGCTCTAAAAGTCCCGCTCTGCTCTTTACCTCCCTGCCATGAGTAGGTAAGAAACTGTGTGTGTGTGAAAGAGAGAGAGATCAGACACCACCCTCACACGGACATCCCCGTGTGAGCGCTCAGCATTATACCATGAGACATAAATAGATTAGTGTTTGTCAGATAAATGCCCACAGTGTTAATGTAAATTAATTCAAATGGCATCTAGGTGCTGGCTGTACTTACTCACAAAGACCAGGTTATGTTACGATCAGATCGAGACCCACAAAGGCCTATACACTGTTAACCTAGGTTGTGAGTTCACAACAGGTTGTTAATCTATAGAAATGAAATGTGTGCACAGTGGTGTTCACTGTGCTTAAAGCCACTGTGATAATAATTAGCTCTTTTTTGCATATCAATAGTGACAACATTGCATGATAGTCCGCTTGATGTGCACCACAGCCATGCTGTTGAATCCCGCAGACAACGAAGAGTTCATCAAACATGCATTCAGAGGTCCAACAATGCACATATGTCATAACATGCTCTTTCAGTGGGGTAAAGGAGAGACACATATTCAGAGTTTATCTTTGTACAGGAGACTTACCTACATGCTCCTTCATCTATCCATCCCTTTTCTCTGCACGTCCATCTTCACACTGCACATCCAACCATGTCCACGAAATGAACACAGGTGGTCTTCACACACACACACACACACACACACACACACACACACACACACACTCACACACACACACACATACACACACGCGTGCACACACACCTGTTTGTTTGCCTCGTGTCGTCCTCTTGGGCTGCAGGTGAAAAGGCAAAAAAAGCACAGCAGAATGAAAGGAACCATCCAGACAAGCTCAACAGACTATCAGACACCCATTCTCTACTTATCCTCCTCTCTCTCTCTCTCTCTCTCTCTCTCTCTTACCTCCTACTCACTTTTACATTTCACACTCCCACTCCGCTCAGTCAGTCCTATTAACCTTTCTCAGACAGATTTCATGTCCCTCCCTCTCTTTCTTTCTCTCTCTCCCTCTCTCCATCCCTCACATCTGAACTTGCTCACCCTGTGTTTGCCGCTGAGTAGCACTCTCAGCCTCTCTTCCATTTGTAATCACCCTCCTCTCTTTCCATATTGCAAACACTCTCTCCCTTTTCCCCTCCGTGCAGCTCTCTGTTGTTGTGTTTATAATTAGAAATGAGACTGCTGTGCAACTCCTCAGCTGATGGTAGGCGTATGACTGCCTGATGGCTCTGGCGTTCTGCCTGGTGGAGTGAGGGCGGGAAGCAGTTTGCTGCTTTCGACTAGAGCCTGGACACACTCATGCAAAAATAAAAGATAGCGATTGGCAAAGACCGAAATCTTGCGGCCACACCTCCAACCTCAGGGTCATGCACGATCCCTCACTTGCTTGATACTTCCTGCTTCTTCTCACCTCAGGGGCAGACATCCGTGATGTTTCATCCTGAATGAGCGCGACACCCAACACAATGATTGATTTGACGCAGTCGGTAATTGCTCTAGACCAAAGAGCTCAAAGGTCAACATTAAGCACCAAAGAGAAGAGGCCTTTCATAGCTCTACAGCAAACATGCAAAATATTATGTCACTCAGGTCTGTGCCTGCTTTCTACATGTCCTTATTTTCTTCCTGCTCTTCTGTCTCTTTCATCTCACAAGAAAGAAAGAGAACGTTGGCTCTAGCAGAGCAGCCCTGGTCCCAGCTACTCATCCTGCAGGGCCTCAGCAGGTGAGCCCCCCCCTGTCATGAGAAAGCCCACGCATAATTTCGTTTGAGGTGAAGAGGATTTCTCAGTTCGAGTCACATCATGCTTCCGCTGCCCACTCTGTTTTCTCTCTACACTGACTGAACACACACACACACACACACATGCACACACAAACATGCACGTTCATGAGCTGGAGAGAGTTCACAGTGTTGTAAGACTGCATCACAGTGTCATCTTGCACTTTTAGGCTGAACCACCACAACCGCTGACATTTACAAAGAGTGCATTTTTTTATTGGTAGAAATCGCCAATCACACCCACCACTTCCTATCTGCTGCATCACAGCCTGTTTCTGCAGTTTCACCAGTTTAGCACAGATGCCAAGTGTGACTTTCAGTAGGTTTCCATGCTCACTTTATTAGTCAGCAAATGTTTGTCGTTAATTCGTTTTCTTAAATAGAATTTCCTTTTTCAAATCGCATTTTCTGTTGATCAAAACTAATGTGAGTGATCTAAAATTATTTCACTTTGTGCAGATTCTTGGAATGACTCAAAATAGCACCTGATTCTGTCTGCACCTGAAGCATGATATTCTTTAAAAGCCTCCCTCAAGTGCTGATGCAGTGTTTTGCAAAAAGGCAATGATGTAATGGTGTTTGGTGAAGCTTTTGCATGCAAATATTGTGTAACCACCAATTTCAGCTGAGAGGAAGTGGAAGTGACATCTCCTCTCCACTAGATGGAGTCCAGGAAACACAGACTCTGATGTGTGGTCTTACGATTTACCTGCCGCTCCAATTCAATCATCCACTTTTTTCTCATTACTTTAAAAGGCCTCTGATGAATATAATTCATTAAATATATGTTTAATTAAATGCAACAACTAAAAACGGTTTTATCCACTGCTAATGATCACACTGTGCTGTTTAAATTGTTCATTAAAAACCTCCAAGATTTATTTTGAGCTAAAAACGCATACCAATTTTCTGGGCTGCAGGAAAATGTTAAAGGTTTGGATGAATGCTAAGTTGAATGTGTTTCGTATTCATGTCATGGAATCTGAGTCAACACTGCATCTGGCACTGTCATGTTGTTGGAGGCAGGTTCAAGGAATGTGTAATGCAACTTCATTATCTTATTTAAAAATATATATATTTTAGAGCAGAATATGTGGATATTTTTTATTTAGTTTTTTTAGTTGTGTCATAAACAGTTACAAAACAAACATAAACATTGGAATTGATGTGGAAAAGCTTTATCAATTTATTTATCATTTTATATGTATTTTCTTTATTTTTTTATTACCTATGTGGGTAGTTTGACCTTTTGATAAGGTTGTGATAGTAGACAACAAAACAATATTTGGTCACTCAAGCCTGCAGCCCGCTTGCTTTCAATATATTTATCCTCACATTCCATGTGCTTGTTTTTCTGTTTTATTTCACTTTAAAACACAAGAAATAAAGCCGTGGGTTGGCTCTTGCAAGGCAGTTCTGGTCCAAGTTGTGGCATGTTATTGTTGTTCTTTGGTGAGTTATGTTACGTCTGTGTTGTCATCAAAAATAGGATTAATTCATTTTTAATCAGAATTAAATCAATTTTATAAATCAAAAGTAACAATGCAAAATTTATGGCAATGTCTCTTCAAGGTCCAGTGTGTAAGATTTAGGTGAAAGGGAACTACTGGCAGAAATTTAATGTAGAATAATCCTCATGATGTTTTCACAAGTTCATTTCATCTAAATTGTATGAATTGTAGTTTAAAAGGCCCTTTATATTCAAATACTTTATATTTACATTGGGGGGACCCTCTCTACGCCATGTTCTTTTCATTAATCCAGACTGGACAAACTAAACACCTTTTGAATTTTTATGACAATTAAAGGCTACCACAGTTACTTTTTCATGTTTGGATGGAGAGGCTGAGGTGAGGGGTGTTCAGCTGCAACATGCAACTTCAACAATAGATATCACAAAAAATTCACACTGTACCTTTAAGAAAAGAAAACTCAAAAAAGCTTTTATATTGTTCAGAAACATCAGTGCCAATAATCATTAAGGAACCAGAATCATGATGACAACATGATTATAAAATGTTTATCCCTGATGTCCTCGAGCCTGAAGGTGAAACAGAAGAGAGAGGGTTTGAATCTGAAAATAAAACAGTGGAGACAGGAAAGAGGAGACTGAGGAGGAGGAGGTGAGGAGTGGGAGGGTGTGGGGGGGATAAGAAGACAAAAATAACAGAGGCATGTGTCTGTCTCTCCTTGGTATTTTCCATTCTGCAACACAAAAATCCCTCTTTCCCTCTCCTCAATCCCTTCCTCGTTCTTGTCCAGCTCCTCCCCTCCTCCCTGTCATTGGTCAGCCGGTCGGCTCCACAGAGCCACAAACTTGTTCTTGTCTCATCCAAGTGGCTCAGAGAGTCCACTGAGGGGAAAGAGGCAAAGCTGGGGAAGGAGAGCAGCAGAGAAACAGGGCAGCATCAGTCACTTTGGAGCAGTTCAGAGTGAGCAGAGGAGGTGGGAGATGAGCTGCAGCTGAACTCTCAGGGCTGACTGACTGGACACCGCAAACTGATTTATTTCATTCCCACAATTCTCCAGCAACATGAGCTCCTCATCATCCAACCTGCACAAAAAGCACCTGCCACGTGAGTAATCCATTCCTTCAAACTTCTGAATCTTAAGCAGATATGCATGTTTCAGTTCAGGCGGATGTTTTGAGACATGACCACAAGTTTGCTCCATTTGCAGAGTTTCCATTTTCAGATGTGGGGCATGACATTAGAGAGGAAACTCCATATTTGGCTGTCAGAAGTAGAACACACACACACACACACACACACACACACACACACACAGACACACACACACACACACACATACGTGCAGCTAGTGCTTTAAAATTGTGACCGTTGTGTAAATGTTGAAGTGACCAGTCATGCAGTCCCAGCCAAAAATCAGACAGGAATGTTGAATCATCACCCTGAGTAATGTTCACTAATTCCAAGTGAGTAGGTCATACACTCACACACTCTTTTGTCTATAGTTGTGAGGACATTCATAATGCATTCGACAACCCCTCACCCTAACCTTAACCATCACAACTGAATCCTAACCCTGACACTTACCTTAACCTAAAGCTACCTCTAACCCTAAAAAAGAAACCCTAAAACAGCCTTTTAAATTTGTGAGGACCAGCCAAAATTTCCTCACATTGATGGTATTGAACCAATATTTGCCCTCTTAACTATAGAAAGACATGCACACACACACACACACACACACACACACACACACTGAGGATCTCTATTTCTAATAGGATTGAGGCTGCTGATCTCATCAGGGGTCTGACTGCAGCAGGGTCTGCAGCTTGCCCCATGCAGACACACCAACCCAGATAGGACCTGGAATTGAGTTAGCTGCGATGAGATCAGTTTGTGATCTCATGAGGCTAAAAACAACTCCAGGGAAGGCGTCTTCCACCTGTTGCTTGGCGCAGACCATGCTCTCCTGTTTTATTATCATTGTGAGAATGTGCCAGCCAGATTACACATGAGTGTGCTGTGGAGTGAAGGACTGGCCAGCTGCAGAAAGCATGTTAAAGTCAGCAGAGCATTGCGTGTAAACGGAAATATCTGTATTCTCACATGAGCTAAGACTGCAGAGACAGTGAGTCTGGGGGAGACACAGTATGTATCTGCTGTCAAGTCACTGGATCATTGATGGATCTTACTCATTATAATTTGACTGAGGTCTAAATGCTTAGACCTTCTCATGGGAAAATAATTCAAGAGTCTGTTGAAAGCTGTAGGAAGCCATAGCCGTGCCTTGAACTTAATGCCAATATCAGCATGCTAATGTGGTAAACATGACAATGCTAATGTAAAGAAGGTATAGGAGGAGGTCAACACAACTGTGCAGTTTGCTGTAAGTGGACTAAACATGGAATTATGCTTCTTTGAAGATGCAGGTAAACGTCATTCAATTTACATGTTACGTTCATATATATTTTCTTTACACGCAGCCTTGTACCCTGGTCCTAGAAACCACTACGTGCGTAAAACATGTCATGCTTCTGCTAGACAAAATCCACCTGTCCGTCAGAGAATATGTACTCTGTCAGATTTAATAATTACATTTATTTATTATTTAATATTCAGTTTCCATATGATTTCACTTCACTCATTACTAATATTGTAATAATAATGATGATGATAATAATAATAACAGTAATAGATGTTTTAAATTATATTATTTCAAAAGCACCTTTAAATACAGGGTTTACACAAAACCGACAAAACAGGATACTCTGTTTCCATTTCCAATAAAAACAATTAATGAATAAAAGCAATAAGAAAACTGCATCATGTAAAAGCAGTAATTACAAATAAAACAATGGGATCAATAAACAACAAGACAAAATTCCAACAAAGCAAATTGATACAATAAAAGAACATAGACATAATGTAAAAAATCATAAAAACAAAGATGTGATAAATGGTACTGTCAAAAAACACTACCAGAAAAACTCTTTTTGTAAGATTTAGAGGGGTTTAAGTACTGATGGCAGCTGTCAGTTCTCTACACACACATTGGCTGTTCACATCACACTCATTTTCAGCAGTTTCATTGTTCAGTCAGGAACACTTTGTCATGATTTACCCATTTGTTGCACGATGGGGATACAGTTAGGATTGGTGCTGAAGGCTCCATTCTTTGAATGTTCCCTGGATTAGCCCAGCAGCCTGCTAAGATAAAACATGGAACATATGCAGAGCCCCCTGGTGGGCGTAGCAGGCAAGGTAAGTTTGTTTGAGATGAATATCGTTTACCACGGTTGTGTTTGAACTCAAAGCTAAAAGGAGGAGGCTGGGGTGGTGGAGGCAAGTAGCTGGCAGCAGGCAGTGTAGCTGAGCAGGGATCAGTGAGGATGAGGTCGCATTTAAAGGGACTGCTTCATTGACAGAATGGGCTGTGATTGGTGGGTGACTGACGAGCACCCATAGACCTTTCTGTAGCTGACAGCTGAGCACATGACTCCGTGTCCTGCATGAACTAACGTGATGGTTCATTTAAAGGAGATGATATGTTAGTTCTCTGTTTCTCTGTCAAGAAATAACAGGAATATTTACTGAATCAGTGTAAATTTTAAGAACACTCATGTGGTGCAAAGAGATTATTCTCTTGCAAACATTACCATGTTGCATGTCAGCGCTTTAAGTTCATTATCAGCTATTTGCTGATTGATTAACTGTTCACATCCCTTTTTAAAGTCAAACATTTGCTGGGGCAGCCTCTAAAACAGGCAGCTACAGTTTATTAACCTAGAAATTAACCAGGAAACTATTATGTCTGACATTTTGTGAACCAATAAATGAAAAATCAATGCATAAAACTCTATAAATGGAGTGTATGTTACCTCTCAGACAAAGTTAGAGACTAGATGGCAAACATCGTTGAGCATCTAGCAGCTTAAGAGACAGATAGTGTGCTGCCTTCAAGACACAGAGACACAGAGGCTAAACATTGTGAGATCTCTCTCTCTGTGGTAACAACATTCAGGAGATGCAAAGACATATTGACAGAGGCCAAAGAGGCCATTGGGAATATCAACATTTTCCTCATACATATAAAATTACAATTTATTAACTTATCATCCAACACGAAATGAACTTGAACGACCTTTCCAAAAATTCTGAGGTCCGAGTTCATCCACCACTGGTGTTCATGGAGTCCCCTTGTTACCATGACCCTATTTGAAGGCAGGTTGCAAAATCTAAAAGCCAAATGAATGCTTATGTTGCAGGGCTGAAGCATAGACTGTATAGACAGCTGGACGACATGACTGCTCCTCAAAAGTGAAGCCAAAGAATCTCAATCACTATCTGGTGGCTGTCTCACCATAAATCCTGCTTTCTCCATGTTAGTGGATTGGACAAAATAAAGACTCAAATAACATGTCAAAAAAAATCTCTCACTTTAGGTAGTTCTTATCAGACGGATGTATTTTTAAATGCCCTCATTTGGTGCTAAAACGGGATGAAACATCATAATTGACAGCTAAATCTGACTTGTGATTGGCTGAGAGCATGCATCGTCAGGTTGTCACTACAGAGGCTCCATCCACCGAGTGCTACTGTACTCCAAACGTGCAAGATGGCGGAGTTCACAACAAGGATATTTTACCTTTATTTCTGGAAAGTTGGGACAAGTGGAAACATGACATCCATCAGTCTCTGATTTGAAGAGTGATAAAAAAGTTACAGTTGAGTCCACAACTTGTTGCTACACAGCCTTCAAAAGGCCAAAATGCAGATGTAGATGAAAAAATTGCAAGTTTAAGGCTGTAGGAGGGGGATATATAAAATAAAGGTAAGATAAGGGAAAGTGTACGTCATCCTTCAGTCACAGAGAAGATTTGACACTGGTATTTTCACTTTATTTGTCTGATTATACCTGAAGACCTTCAGTGACTTTATGTCACTCTAAATTAGCTCTGCCCAGAGTATGAAAATGATCTTGTTGACTGCTGCAGGGTGCTGGTCGTCCATTCAATTTTCATTAATATTGAACTTATCACAAGTCCAAATCACACCAAATTTGGCACTGCACTTCCTCAGGTCACCAAAGACACATACACCAAGTGCAAAGGTGAGATGAACAGATCTCTAGATATGCATTCCACAAACAGACAGACAGACATTTGTAGAATTAGTATGTAGATAAAATAGACAAGAAATCCAGGTTCTTCAGAGCAGAGAAAACTAATCATATGATGAGATTTAAAAGCATCTTGAAACCCAATCCATAAATATTTGTGGAAGTTTCAGCAAAACAAAAGACTAATTAAAGCTGTAAAACACCTTAAACACAGTTATCTTCAGCCCTCTCTTTCTCCATCGCCTCAAACAGGAGAAATGTCTGAGTGACTGTGTTGACTTTAACCAAACACTCTTAGTTCTCCCAGCTGACGGGAGAATAGCTTTAAACCTTCCTCACATAAACTGGAAGAGACAGTGCAGCTTTTCCAGGGAGAACTGGGAGCGGTGTGGATGCTGAAGTGATTATAATGAGGAGAGAAGTCAGCTCATGTGAGAATTTAGGGCAGAAGAAACCATCTCTCTCTCTCTCTCTCTCTCTCTCTCTCACACACACACACACACACACACACACAGAGAAAGAGAGAGAGACCTAACTCTGACTCTGAATCACAGATTCAGACTCGACCATAAAGCCTTCACTTGATGACTCAATGTTTCTGAGTGTGATTGCCGATTTAATTTCAACCACAAACTCATTAATGTTGGTTACTTTAATATAAGGTCCTGTTACTTTACTGATGGAGTAATTCTACTGCGCATCATCGGCCGCTGTAGATGGTTAAATACCTTATTCTAGTATTAATTAACAGTCATTGCAGATAAGAGGATTTGTAAATGGGTGTGTCAGTACTTTGTCTGCTGCTGAAGCTTATTGTGTCCGTCACAGCTCATGACGGTCTGCTTGTGGGCTTATGGAGGCCAGTGGGACATGACAGTGGCCTACAAATGGTCCCATTGTTAGTGTGGATGTGATCCGGGCAGGAGGGAAGGAGATAGAGAGAGGGTTAACACTGATGTCACTGTTTATCTAACTAACTGGGCTAATG